GACCCTGCATTTGCCTTTGTTGAACCTCATCAGGTTCCTCTCTGCCCAACTTTCCAGCCTATCCAGATCACGCTGAATGGCAGCACAGCCTTCTGGTGTATCTACCACACCTCCCAGTTTGGTGTCATCAGCAAACTTGCTGAGGGTACACTCTAACTCTTCATCCAGGTCATTGATGAAGAAGTTAAACAAGACTGGGCCCAGTACTGACCCCTGGGGGACACCACTTGTTACCAGCTTCCAACTAGACTCAGCGCCGCTGATGACAACCCTCTGAGTTCTGCCATTCAGCCAGTTCTCTATCCACTTCACCGACCACTCATCCAGCCCACGCTTCCTGAGCTTCCCTAGGAGGATATCATGGGAGAATTAAATTAATCTTGATTGATTTTAGAGTGTATTCTGTCTTGAACAGAAGGAAAAACAGAGGTTTAGAGAACATGACAAAATTCTAGATATAGCTGGAAATATTTTTAATTCCTTTTTATTGGTGAAGCTGGATTTTGGATACATGATTACAGAAGTCATAGGTTTTCCAAGAGTTATTATTCTGAACCTCACTGTATATACATAAGGTTCTTGTATATATATATATGCCCATTGTATATCCCCGTGCAAGAATATATAAAAAAGAGATCTGAACCCGTCAGCTCTGCTTGAAGATCCTCACTAGAGGTCATTTTCCTGCACAGCCACAAGCATTAGCAAAGGCTGCCAACATGACCTGGGAGAAAGATTACACCTTTACAGAGTAGAAGCAATAAGTACTTACAAAAAACATAGAAAACAACTTTTGCTCACCTACGTGTTTTAACATAAGTGTAGCACTCTGAGTGTAGCCACTGACAAGAGTTTAGCAAATTTTTGGACCAGTTCTTTGCTTTGGTATTGCACTGAAAAGACGCCTTGTTTTTCATTGCAACTGTAAGTGACCTGGTGTAAAGGGTTTTTACACACATGTGTACATACACAAATATGCGTGTAAAAAAAAATAATTTGTCTTTTTTCTATGCCTTTTCAAGCTAGATTGTGAGCATAGGAAAAAACAGTTGTCCTTTGGGATATTGCATTTATAGAGAAATTGTAGTAATTTCCTTGATTCTTCATACGTTGAAGACTTCAAATAAAATAATATCTTAGACAAATCAATGGAGAGGCATGCAGCCTGTGCTCACATGAACACTAGCTATAACTGATGTAAAGCATCAAAAAAAAAAAAAAATCATGTCTTATTTCCAGTCTTTTTCTCTCTAGAAGTATTCTGCTAGCTTTTGGGAAAGGCTGTGGACTTACTGGTTGATCTTGTGTATCAAAGCAAAAAGAGAGAATAACTGAAAGGCAAAGTCGCTGGCTAACACCGTTGCTTTAAACTCTGAAAGGTTAGCGCTGATGTTTTAGTTTGCTTTTGTTGTTTACTCTTCCACCAGCTTTTTGGAGACTGGGAATCTCATTTGCGAAGGATAATGAAATTGATTGCTGGCGGAGGATTGTCCATCACAGGATCCCACAACATGTGCGGCGACTATCTGTACAGCGGTCACACCGTCATATTAACTCTTACATACTTATTTATCAAAGAGTGTAAGTTTGTTACTGTTCATGTGGTATTTCCTGTTATATAATTCCTTGCTAATGGAAGAATTATTGTTATGCTGATTGGTAAATACAATTAAAGTAAAATTGCATTCTTTTTCAATCAAATAAAAATAGTAGAACTTCAAAGACATGGGGCTTACTGAAAAATAAAGCTTTGGAGACAAAACGCTTTACCATGTAGATGTCCAAATTAAGCATTTTATTTCAATGAAATTTTGTGTAGAAAATAATCGAACGCTTCATTGTACCCTGCATGATGAATGGTATTTTAACTATGTGTCTCCTAGTCTAGAGAGAGATGAATGCCATGCTAAATGAAAGGTTGCAAGAATCAGGCCTTAATGTATGCAGTTGTCTTTTATGAAAGGCAAGAGGAATGGATTGCCATCTATGTTGCCAGTTCTGTTTGCTCCCTCAGTAAGTTTGCAGATGACGCCAAGTTGGGTGGAAGTGTCAATCTGCTTGAGGGTAGGAAGGCTCTGCAGAGGGACCTGGACAGGCTGGATCGGTGGGCCAAGGCCAACTGTGTGAGGTTCAACAAGGCCAAGTGCCAGGTCCTGCACTTTGGGCACAACAACCCCAGGCAACGCTACAGGCTTGGGAAGGAGTGGCTGGAAAGCTGCCCAGCGGAAAAGGACCTTGGGGTTGACAGCCAGCTGAACATGAGCCAGCAATGTGCCCAGGTGGCCAAGAAGGCCAACAGCATCCTGGCTTGTATCAGGAATAGTGTGGCCAGCAGGAGCAGGGAGGTGATCGTGCCCCTGTACTCCGCACCGGTGAGGCCGCACCTCGAGTACTGTGTGCAGTTTTGGGCCCCTCACTACAAGAAAGACATTGGGTTGCTGGAGCGTGTCCAGTGAAGGGCAACAAGGTGGGTGAAGGGTCTACAGAACAAGTCCTATGAGGAGCAGCTGAGGGAACTGGGGCGGTTTAGTCTGGAGAAGAGGAGGCTGAGGGCGGACCATACTGCTCTCTACAGCTACCTGAAAGGAGGTTGTAGTGAGGCAGATGTTGGTCTCTTCTCCCAACTAACCAGCAATAGGACGAGAGGCGATGGCCTCAGGTTGCGTCAGGGGAGGTTCAGTTTAGATACTAGGAAAAATATCTTTACTGAAAGAGTGGTCAAGCATTGGAGTAGGCTGCCCAGGGAGGGGGTCGAGTCCCCATCCCTGTAGGTGTTAAAAAAATGTGTAGATATGGCACTTCGGGATACGGTTTAGTAGGCATGATGGTGATGGTTGACTGTTGGACTTGATCATCTTAGAGGTCTTTTCCAACCTATGATTGTATGTAGAATCAATATTGAAATACAAATCAGTTAATTTTACTGAGAAGGGAATATTATATGGTTACGTATTGGGCCTGTTTCTCCAAGATTTCATAACCTTTCTGTTTTGCAAGGATCTCATTACCCCTGAGTATAATTTTAAGTTACAACTTAAGAGAATGATACTTGTTTTGTGATCTCAGCATTCCT